TGCGGTAAAGCATGCATGTTATGCTCACTATGGAACCCAAGGGGTTCATCCTCTGCATTGTATAAAAAGGCTGTTTGATCCTGTCTTTTATGATCCTCCCCTTCTTCCACAGTCCCTAATCCATCTGCTTGGAGGCCTTGGGAGCAAGCTGCACATGCTCAGTTTGGCGTGTATTGCTAGAGAATTTTTTTTTCTTGGTAGAGTGCATGTGATCAGCTAAGGGAAAATCAGCGCTGCCCAGACAGAGGGTCAGGAGTTATGCAGCCTCATAGGACAGTCAGAGCAGAATTAAAACTTCTCCAACAAGCTTTAACTAGTGCTGAGCTGGACACTGATAGAAGTCACAAGACTGATCTAACTGCTGATAAGAAAATTAGCAGTTTATATTTACTAAAATAATTGCATTTCCATGTTGTGTGTACTGTGGGAGACCAGATATAGTGAATGAAGGGTCCTGGGTTTAGTAACACTTTAACAAAACATAAAACAAAAAAAAAAAATGAAACAAAAACTTCTTCGAAATCATGCATGGCAAATAGGCGATCATATTATATCTTCCTTCTTTGTATAAAGATAAAAAGAACATAGAAGTCATAGAAACACCACACCCCCTCTGTGAAAGTGGAGAGCTATGTGTGGTTCTAGAGGATTTTTCTATACTGTTCTTTCAACAAAGTGACATCAATGGCAGATTGTTTGATGACAAGTTTTTCTAGATTTTCCTGCTCATACAGCTTTATGACTTGGTGGTCACACATTTTTCTTTCTTGCGTGTTTTGGCCTTCCTAAAAAAGTGATTTACATCAGCTAGCCTTCTTTTGCCCATACCAGTATAGGTCTTAGTGTTCTAATGTTGAAAGGGATGGGGCTTTACCAAATGAGCATACCTTGTCAGATTTGGGGCAGTTTTGGTTGATTAACCCAAGTCTTCCTTATCCTGTACATTTTCTTTTGGCTCTTTTGACACCATCTCTTTTAATTTCAAAGACACAACTCTGTTCTATAATACTGTATAAAGCAAGTAAAAAACATCAAAAGTAGCCAACCCATTGTAATTTGCCTTCAATTCAAGCCTATGCTTCCTGTTTAATTACATTCTAAAGTATAGAATTTTATACATTGTGCATATACATTGTGTTTGTGTTTTTTACTCTATCTCACAGAAGTGAGTACACCCCTCACATTTTTTGTAACTATTTTATTCTATCTTTTCATGTGACAACACTGAAGAAATGACACTTTGCAACAATGTAAAGTAGTGAGTGTACAGCTTGTATAACAGTGTAAATTTGCTGTCGCCTCAAAATAACTTAACATACAGCCATTAATGTCTAAACCGCTGGCAACAAAAGTGAGTACACCCCTAAGTGAAAATGTCCAAATTGGGCCCAATTAGCCATTTTCCCTCCCCGATTTCATGTAACTCGTTAATGTTACAAGGTCTCAGGTGTGATTGGGAAGCAGGTGTGTTAAATTTGGTGTTGTCGCTCTCACTCTCTCATACTGGTCACTGGAAGTTCAGCATGGCACCTCATGGTAAAGAACTCTGAGGATCTGAAAATAGGAATTTTTGCTCTACATAAAGATGGCCTAGGCCAGTGATGGCGAACCCGTGGCACGCGTGCCACAGCCGGCACGCCGAGCCTTATCTGTGGGCACGCCAGGAGAATCCAGCGGCGCGCTGTCTTCCCGGCTGTAGTGTGCGTGACAGCCGGGTCCCAAGTGCGCATGCACAAGAAGCAGTGCTCTTTGTGAATGGTAAGGCGGTACCTGGGACACATGACAGATCCCAGAAGCCGCCGGACCAATCACAAAGCGCAGCGCTTCTCGCGCATGCGCACTGGGCATCCGGCTGTCCGACGAGCGCCCACACTACAGAAGCCGGGAAGACAACGCGCGGCTGGATAAAAGAACAGGTAAGATAAAAAAAAAAAATCTCTGCGGAAGTAAGAGCGGGTACCTGTCAATTTCAGGTACCCGCTCCCCCTCCCTCCCCAAAGGTCAGCAGTCATCCCTGTGCTGTCCGCAGTCTCTGGTCATCCCTGTGCTGTCCGCAGTCTCTGGTCATCCCTGTGCTGTCCACAGTCTCTGGTCATCCCTGTGCTGTCCGCAGTCTCTGGTCATCCCTGTGGTGTCCGCAGTCTCTGGTCATCCCTGTGCTGTCCGCAGTCTCTGGTCATCCCCTGTACTGTCCGCAGTCTCTGGTCATCTCCTGTACTGTCCGCAGTCTCTGGTCATCCCTGTGCTGTCCGCAGTCTCTGGTCACCCCTGTACTGTGTCCGCAGTCTCTGGTCATCCCTGTGCTGTCCGCAGTCTCTGGTCATCTCCTGTACTGTGTCCGCAGTCTCTGGTCATCCCTGTACTGTGTCCGCAGTCTCTGGTCATCTCCTGTACTGTGTCCGCAGTCTCTGGTCATCCCTGTACTGTGTCCGCAGTCTCTGGTCATCCCTGTACTGTGTCCGCAGTCTCTGGTCATCCCTGTACTGTCCGCAGTCTCTGGTCATCCCTGTACTGTGTCCGCAGTCTCTGGTCATCCCTGTACTGTCCGCAGTCTCTGGTCATCCCTGTACTGTCCGCAGTCTCTGGTCATCCCTGTACTGTCCGCAGTCTCTGGTCATCCCTGTACTGTCCGCAGTCACTGGTCATCCCTGTACTATGTCCGCAGTCTCTGGTCATCCCTGTACTGTCCGCAGTCTCTGGTCATCTCCTGTACTTTCCGCAGTCTCTGGTCATCCCTGTACTGTCCGCAGTCACTGGTCATCCCTGTACTGTGTCCGCAGTCTCTGGTCATCTCCTGTACTGTGTCCGCAGTCTCTGGTCATCCCTGTACTGTCCGCAGTCTCTGGTCATCTCCTGTACTGTGTCCGCAGTCTCTGGTCATCTCCTGTACTGTGTCCGCAGTCTCTGGTCATCTCCTGTACTGTCCGCAGTCTCTGGTCATCTCCTGAACTGTCCGCAGTCTCTGGTCATCTCCTGAACTGTCCGCAGTCTCTGGTCATCCCTGTACTGTGTCTGCAGTCTCTGGTCATCCCTGTACTGTGTCCGCAGTCTCTGGTCATCCCTGTACTGTGTCCGCAGTCTCTGGTCATCTCCTGTACTGTGTCCGCAGTCTCTGGTCATCCCTGTACTGTGTCCGCAGTCTCTGGGCATCCCTGTACTGTGTCCGCAGTCTCTGGTCATCCCTGTACTGTGTCCGCAGTCTCTGGTCATCCCTGTACTGTGTCCGCAGTCTCTGGTCATCCCTGTACTGTGTCCGCAGTCTCTGGTCATCCCTGTACTGTCCGCAGTCTCTGGTCATCCCTGTACTGTGTCCGCAGTCTCTGGTCATCCCTGTACTGTGTCCGCAGTCTCTGGTCATCCCTGTACTGTGTCCGCAGTCTCTGGTCATCCCTGTACTGTGTCCGCAGTCTCTGGTCATCCCTGTACTGTGTCCGCAGTCTCTGGTCATCCCTGTACTGTTAATTAGTTTGCACTACTGTACGAGTTGTTTTTTCTAAACCAAAAGCTCGATATTCAGGTTTCATTGCAGTGTTGGCACTTTGAAAGAAATAAGTTGGTTTTGGGTTGCAGTTTGGGCACTCGGGCTCAAAAAGGTTCGCCATCGCTGGCCTAGGCTATAAGAAGATTGGCAAGACCCTGAAACTGACCTGCAGCACGGTGGCCAAGAATATACAGCGTTTTAACAGGACAGGTTCCACTGAAAACAGGCCTCGTCATGGTCAACCAGAGAGGTTGAGTGCACGTGCTCAGTGTCATATACAGAGGTTGTCTTTGGGAAATAGACGTATGACTGCTGCCAGCATTGCTGCAGAGGTTGAAGGGGTGGGGGGTCAGCCTGTCAGTACTCAGACCATACACCGCACAGTGCATCAAATTGGTCTGCATGGCTGCCGTCCCAGAAGGAAGCCTCTTCTAAAGATGATGCACAAGAAAACCCACAAACAGTTTGCTGAAGACAAGCAGACTAAGGACATGGATTACTGGAACCATGTCCTGTGGACTGATGAGACCAAGATAAACTTACTTGGTTCAGATGGTGTCAAGTGTGTGTGGTGACAACCAGGTGAGGAGTACAAATATAAGTATGTCATGCCTACAGTCAAGCATGGTGGTGGGGGTGTCATGGTCTGGGGCTGCATGAGTGCTGTCGGCACTGGGGAGCTACAGTTCATTGAGAGAACCATGAATGCCAACATGTACTGTGACATACTGAAGCAGAGCATGATCCCCTCCCTTCAGAAACTGGGCCGCAGGGTAGTATTCCAACATGATAATGACCCAAAACACGCCTCCAAGATGACCACTGCCTTACTAAAGAAGCTGAGGGTAAAGGTGATGGACTGGCCAAGCATGTCTCCAGACCTAAACCCTAATGAGCATCTGTGGGGCATCCTCAAATGGAAGGTGGAGGAGCGCAAGGTCTCTAACATCCACCAGCTCCGTAATGTCATCATAGAGGAGTGGAAGAGGACTCCAGTGGTAACCTGTGAAGGCCTGGTGACCTCCATGCCCAAGAGGGTTAAGGCATTGCTAGAAAATAATGGTGGCCACACAAAATATTGACACTTTAGGCCCAATTTGGACATTTTCACTTAGGGGTGTACTCACTTTTGTTGCCAGCGGTTTAGACATTAATGGCTGTGTGTTGTCATTTTGAGGGGACAGCAGATTTACACTGTTTTTCTTATACAAGCTGTACACTCACTACTTTACATTCTATACATTCTAGCAAAGTGTCCTTTCTTCAGTGTTGTCACATGAAAAGATATAATAAAATATTTACAAAAATATGAGGGGTATACTCACTTTTGGGAGATACTGTATGTATGTGTGTGTGTGTGTGTGTATATATATATATATATATGTATATATATATATATATATATATATATATCTTTTATATCCTTTATGTGCTCGGACCTGTCAGCTAATTGCTTAGTAGTACTGCATTGTGTTGGTCTGATGACTTTTTACTGATTTCCCTGTATTTACATTGACAGCGTTGCAGGCGGCGAGCTTTTTGACTTTCTTGCTGAGAAGGAATCATTATCAGAGGAGGAAGCCACCGAATTTTTAAAACAGATCCTCAATGGCGTCAATTACCTGCACTCCCTGCAAATTGCCCACTTTGATCTTAAGGTATAGCATAATTAGAAGACAAATAGAAACATTATTTTTCTTTTAAAAAATTAACGCAAATCAACAAACAATTTGGAATAACGCTGGTCAAAGCTTATAACTAACAAGGTGATTTTGCCATGCTACTCAAAAAAATGAAATACATTCTACCGCAATGTGTTTTCTGTCTATCACAATCTCTACTACCAGTGAGTGTCTTTACAAAAAAGTATAAGTTAAAAAACAATCTTTCACTCTTGATAAATACTACAGTTCGCAGAGAAGTTATGAAATGACCAGTCTACCTTAGACTAGTATTCCAGTTTCTAGTAGATGCTTGATATTTAAAGCAGAAACAGACTTAAAGTAAACACTCACCTCGTAAAACAACCAATTCGGCTTAAAATAGAAATGGAAGGCAAAACTTTTGTGTATAGATATAAAAAACAAAAAACATTATAAACACTCCCCCCCCCCCCCCCCCTTTTTATAAGTGATCAAATTCCTTCTGTTCTCAGTTGTGTAAGAACTGGGAGAGGAGAAAAGAGCAGAACACTGACCTTCCCAGTGGAAAGCTGTGCAGGTGGTGGCAGGACAAGTCTGATCATTGGAGGAGAGCAGGCTGAATTCCTAGCATAGCTAGAGAACTGGTCATGGTGTGTTCTTCCGCTTAGTGTGGTCAGTTTTTAATAGGAAAGCAGAGGAACTGGCATGAACACCAGAGATTTCACACACAGGAAGCACTACAAAGAGAACAAGATACTTTTTCATACAAGTACATGGTACAGCAGGCACATATTAGAAATATGAAATGTTTGGTTTACATATTGTTTAACTAGTTCAGCTCTTTGGACGTACAACGTACGTCCAAAAAGTGAACCTTTCATCACAAACTTGATGGTTGCAGTAGCGGCCATTAACTTGTGTGTTTTTTATTCTGTTTTTTGTTTTTTTCTTAGTTCAGCTGGCTCCCAGCTGACAGTGAAAGTGATGCGGCAGCTCTATAGCTGCTGATCACTGTCGCGGAGCCAGCAGCTTGTTGCTGCCCCCCTTCTCTCGTGGTTCCCGGGATCTCCAGCTTTTACCGCATTTAGCTTTTAACACAACTGTAATGTCACTTCCGGTTTCAGATGCACCATTTCCTGGCCAGTACAGCCAGGAGACACATCTAACCAAGCCCATCTGTATTTGGTTAGATGGTGTGAAGGGGCAGGGGAGATATTGGGGTCTATTAGACCCCCGAGAGTCTCCATAAAGAATATCTGTCACCTGCCCAATTCTATCACATAGGGGTTTATTAACCCCTTGTGATAGCAAGCAAGTAAAAATAAATGACAAAAATAAATGAAATCGAAAAACTAAAATTATAATAAAATATATTAAGATAAAAAAAATTGCCATAACCCACATTGCCACGCACACCTGCACAAATGCAAGCCCACACGTGTGACATATCGCTGCAAACGTCAGAGTGAGAACATTAATTCTAGCAAGAGCCCCTAGTTAACGCTAAACTGATGAGCTGGAAAGGCTTTTAAAGCGTCACCTATGGTGATTTTTGGGCACCATAGTTTTTGGCGAACTCACAGACTCAGGCAATTTAAGTCACAGAACGTTTAGTATCTATTTACTCTACAACCTCCTCATTTATATTTAAACCCAAAAATGGGTATTCTATTGTTTATTTTTGCAGAAAATTCATTTTATTATGTTTTCCTGAAAATTTGCATTTATTAAACAGTTGTGCAAATATCATGTAACATAAAAATTTGAAACGATCACCGTTTTATTCTACAGGACCTCTGTTTTCAGAAAATGTATAATATTCTGGGGTTTAGGTAATTTTATTGCCAAGTAAATTTTTATTGGCAGTTAAGATTTTTACATGTATGCAAAATATAAACAAATTGCTCTGGAGCCGAACTGGTTAAGTTTAAAGTAGGGCTATAGGCAAAACTTTGTTGTTTCCTTTTGGATAGAGAAAGGGATGGTTAACTCCTGGCAGATTTTTTCAGCTGTGTCCCATTTCGGAGATTTCCCTTCACTTCCTGTCCTATAGCCAAACAGGAAGTGAGAAGAAATTCCTGCAAATTAACCACTTGCCCTCCGAAAGATTTATCCCCCAGGCAATTTTTTGCGATCAAGTGCTACTTTATTTTAACTGACAATTGCGTGGTCATGCAGCACTATACATATATAAATTTTTAGTTAATAGATCTTTCTTTTGGTAGTATTTGATCACCTCTGTGGTTTTTATTTTTTTATGTTTTACACAAAAAAAAAAAAAACTCAATTTTGAAAAAAAAAAAAACTATATTTTTGACTTTTTGCTATAAAATATATCCAATAAAAAAATAAAATGTCTTCATACATTTAGGCCAAAATATATTCTGCTACATATCTTTGGTAAAAAAAAATCCCAATAAGTGTATATTAAATGGTTTGCATGAAAGTTATAGCGTCTACAAATGGGTGTATATATACTGCAATTTTTATTTATTTATTTATTGTATGCTAGCAATGGTGGCGATCAGTGATTTATAGCAGGACTGCGGTGGACATTCTGACACTAACTGACACTGGGTGGGAAGTGACGAACTGCCAATGACATCTCCAGTGACACTAATACAGTGATCAGTGCTAATAAAAAGCACTGACATTATACTAATGACACTGGGCACTTTTACCCACTTCCTGCCCAGCTCAGGTTTCAGCTTTCAGTGCTGTTGCACTTTGAATGGCAATTGTGTGGTCATGCAACACTGTACCCAAATGAAACTTGTATTATTTTTTTTCCACATTAATAGAGCTTTCTTTTGGTGGTGTTTAATCGCTACTGGGTTTTTATTGTTTGCACTATAAACAAAAAAAGAGCAAAAAAATAATTGGTGGTACTGCTGGATGGTACTGCTGGGCGCACTGACATGGGGGACTATGTTTTTACTAGGGGACGTGCTGCTTTCAATCTCACTTCTTGCAGAGAGATAGCAAGGAGAATGTCCCTGCTGACAGGAGAGAGATCTGTGTTGTTTTACACTCACAGATCTCTCCCCTGTCCGCTTCTCCACCGATCACATAATCCCAGCCATGAATCGCTGGCTGCGACCTGATGATTGACATCTTCGAGAGCCAATGACTGTGTGAGTAGGGCAGTGCGTGAGCCTCCTACCCAGAAATTCTAAACTATGTATATAGATGTGATTTTGCACAGCATTGCTGCCCTGTAGCAGTACATCTGCTATGGGGAGGGGTCTTTAAATGGTTAAGGGAATTCCTTGGTGACCCTCAGGTCACCAAAACTAGTGTCCCTGTTTGGAAGATTCCCCCTGTATTACTTTTCTGTGGACAACCCAACATCTGGGATTTTCTTTCACTTTGAATGATAATGGTAAAAAGTAAAAATAGAGCGGATGGATCTCCTTAACGGGGGCACAGACAGCAATAAAACTGGACAGGGGTTCTAATACCTCTCCACTCTATCCAAAACAAATGGTTTTGCATTTAGTTATACTTTTAAAAAAATACACAGTGCAGTGTGTGTCCATGTACATTATGGAAGGAGGTTTAGGGGCATGCATGAAATTTAGTTCTGTTCTCAGATCTCTGCAGTTGATTTTTCTTCTGTATACCTGCTGTAGCCAGGTGTACAGGGGGTTTGTGGCTCCCTGTAGGATTTTATCTTTGTTATATTGTATTATATAAATGCCACATGGGGTGCTGGAACAAGCAAAGATGCATAGGAACAGCCGCATTTTCCCAGGCGGACACAAAGAAAGGCATGTAAGAAGTTAGGTCTGACTCAATGAAGAATACTGAAATTTAGTATGATTAATAAATGTATTTACTAGCAGTTCTGACAGCTGCAAAACCTGCCTCATGCAAGTCTTTTAGGTCACCAATACCATTGGGGTAGCTATAGTTGAGTAGGTATTTCCCCAAGAACAACATGTGAGGTCCTTGAAATAACCACCTGTGAAAATTATAAGAATGTGATTCTTTAAACCAATATGCTCGATAGTAGCTGTTAAATCTTGGCCCTCTGAGACAGATTTTCCAACCTGTTGTATGCTAGAATTAGTGCCTCTGAAGTAGGAATTGCAATCGATGTTTGACATTAGGAGCATCACTTAGAATTCTCAGGCCCTTAATGATCCATTGTAATGGTTTGACAATACTGTGAAGTGCATGAGGCCGTACAGCTGCCTATAGTTACAAATGGCTGTATGCTAGCTGTATAGGGATATACGTCATTCACACAAGCTGTGTCGAGGGGTTTGTGCAGCTAACGTACAGCCTTTCATTAATATGGGCGACTCTATGCTGCATCTGTGTCTCTCAGATGCTCCTTTCTCTGTTGCAACTGCTGCAAAATACCCAGTATTGCCTGGTGTCATAGAATTAAAGCAATGATGTCACCATCTGTCATGTGACAATAAGCCACTAGACCCAAGTATTGCATCATGGGGGGAGGTCATATGTTCCCCTATATCCAAAAGCATTTTTATTTTGAAGTGGCAACCACAGAAGGAGCAGCAGGGATGTGAGGTGAAGGCAAGTATAGTAAGGCAGTCGGAGGTGAGCTTTACAGCATCTGTCACTTTGCCTTGAATATCTAAGGTGACTGGGTCTTTTTTTAAATGTCTGTATTATTATATTAATGAGCATGGTTTGCAAAGACCCATAGCACCAGTCACCAGAGGCTTCTGATACCAATAACAAACAGTGGTCCTGCTCTCACATTGAGTACTGTACAGTACAGTGGTACTTTAGCCACTTGGTTTCTTTGATTTAACAAAGGTTTAGTCATCCATTTATTATGTTTGATTGGTGTAAATTATGCCAGTCTTATAAAAGTATCAATATGTTTTATATGGAGGGAGCATTTAATAATGTATTACTGTTTGTTTTTTATGTAGCCGGAGAACATCATGCTTCTGGACAGAAATGTACCTAAGCCAAGGATCAAGATCATTGACTTTGGTCTAGCTCACAAAATAGACTCAGAAAATGAATTTAAAAATATATTTGGAACTCCAGAATTTGTGGGTATGTCTTTGCAATGATAATGCTTCAATAATGGAATTGATTTTCTTTTCCATTCTGCTTGTAAAATAGTTTTTTTTTGTTTTTTGTTTTTGTATTGTATATTGCTCTATATATAAACATGCTTTAACTAGCTTGTTAAAGTTGACTTGTTAACTTGTTGTTTCTGTCATAGCTCCGGAAATTGTGAACTATGAGCCACTTGGTCTAGAGTCTGACATGTGGTAAGACTTTTCAATATAGACATTTGTAAAATACAACATTGTTATCACAATTGTTTTTTACATGAAAAAAATGTATAACATGGTTGTTAATTAAAGCTGCACTTTAATGCAACTGTTTACTGTACTATGGTGTCCTTTTATGAAACTGAGATCATCAGAGATCCTGAGGATCGTTGCTGATCTCCGATCATTAGTGGTTTAGGAAACAGAGATGATCAGCGGAGAACATGTTCTCCGCTGATGATCTCAGCACACATATGGCCAGTGTATGAAGGAGCGATGTCAGCCCTTCACTGGCCATCTGTTTTCTCCCTCCAGATTCTCCAGCCCAGAACTGGAGAATCGGAGGAACCGCAAACGAAGCAGCAGTAATTTACCGCTGCTTAGTAAATGGTGTTTGACTGATCTCTTACTATAATCTCGCAAGATTACAGTAACAGCAGCTGTTTTCTATTGTTCAAAGCATTTGTAGATCGCTTCTCCCTTCATTCTGAGAAGTGATCTACACCGCTTCATAAAAAGGCATTCTGAGTAGAACTGTCTCCTCTGAGAATGCCAGAGAACTGAGCAGCTGTCATTTACCGCTGCATGATAAAAGGACACCTATAACTGCAGCTTTCAAATAGGAGTAAACGCTGAATGTTCGGGGCATTACTGCCATATTGCTTTGCACAGGTTATCAATAATTGATTTCCTTCCATCTTAGTTGTACAAAAAGAATACTCACCAAAGTTAAAACTATAGGAGGACCTTCCCCTTTTTCTGGTAAATGCGTAGGGTTTTTCTCCACTAAGCATAAGCAATCACCGCAAGTTTTGTTTGCTTGATTACATCAGCTTGCCTATTTATGATTATGTCCTATCACTTAGAGTCAGGACAAGCATGGCATTTTTCAATGGGTATATAAAAGATTAACCACTTGCCTACCGTGCACTTATACCCCCTTCCTAACCAGGCCAATTTTCAGCTTTCAGCGCTGTCGCATTTTGAATGACAATTGCGTGGTCATGCAACATTGTACCCATATGAAATGTTTATCATTTTCTCACAAATAGAGCTTTCTTTTGGTGGTATTTACTTGCCCCTGGGGGTTTTATTTTTTGCGCTATAAAACAAAAAAAGAGCAAAAATTTTTTTTAAAAAAAGGCTTCTTTGTTTCTATTATAAAATTTTGCAAACAGGTAATTTTTCTCCTTTACTGATGTGCGTTGATGAGGCTGCACTGATAGGCAGCACTGAAGGGCACTGATAGGCAGCACTAATGAGGTGGCACGGATAGGCGGCACTGATGATGGGTACTGATAGTCAGCACTGATAGGCGGCACTGACTGACGGCACTGCTGGGCACTGACTGGCACAACTGCTGGGCACTGACTGGCAGCACTGATGGGCACTGCTGGGTGGCACTGATGGGCAGAGTTGGGTGACACAGGTGGGTGGCACTGATGGGCAGAGTTGGGTGGGACTGATGGGCACAGGTGGGTGACACCGGTGGGTGGCACCGCTGGGCACTGGTGGGTGGCACCGCTGGGCACTGGTGGGCGGAACTGGTGGGTGGCACTGCTGGGCACCGATCATCAGGGCAACACATTAGGCCTTTACCTTGCAGGGGTTTTTTTTATTTCTTTTTTTTATGTGGTTTACTACTGCTTTTAAAGTAAATTTTTTTTTTTTTTTCTACATTGAGTCATTTGTTCAAGTATCTTCTTGTCTTCTGTTTCATTGTAGGAGTATTGGAGTCATAACTTATATTCTGTAAGTATTGATTGCTTAGATCCGTTCCTGCAAAGTATGCAATTGTCTGTTTTAATGCTTTCCGCTTTTTTAAATGCAGATTTAGATCTATTTTTCATTTATTGATGCTTGTTGTAGGGATGTTGTAACCTGCACAATAGCTCTTTTTGCATTACCGTGTTGAGCACTCCTGGTTTTGTAAAATATTTTGTTATACATTTTACAGCTTTCATAACAAAGTTTTAAGCACTTGCCCTCCAGAGGCTGTGTGTGTGTTTCACTGTAAGCACACTGCTTTTTATGGCTGTGTTTATACACAGGTCTCCCCCCCCCCCCCCCCCCCCCCCCCCCCCCCCCCCCCCCCCCCCCCCGCCCCCCCCCCACCCCCCCCCCCCCCCATCGGTAATACTTGGCAATAATCGGCCGGGACCCGGCAATTGATGGCCGAGGCCGCAAATGGTAGCGCAGGTAGGGTGTGCGTGCAGCTCGCGTGCACCCCCTGCCCAGAAATGCAAAATCACGTATATACACATGATTTTGCGCACCCCTGCCACCCTGTAGCAGTATTTTCTGATACAGGGCGGAGGGGAAGCGTTTAAACATACTTTGGAAATACAACAGTCCACAGCACATACTGCATAACCTCTTTTTCTTTATGAATGTGTGGACTGGACTTTGTGGATCTGTAGAGTGCCACAAAACTGTATAGGGGTGGCCTTCTTTTAAATTGTACATTCTTTTATAAGACAGAATAACCCCCATTGGAACTTTAGTGCAACTGACGTATGTATTCTTGAGAACTTTTTTCTATATATTTTATTGTACAAATTGTTATTACAAAGAACATTGCAACTTAAAATCATACTGGCGGCTCTGATAACTTTTCTAAAAACTGAATCCCTTATAGGATTACAGCAATACAATGTTCCCAAGAAGCCCCAACATGTTTCAATCATTTCAGTATAAGATCTTTTTCAGGGGGCATTAAAACCAAAGGGGTCTCTAAATGAACACATTTAAAATTAATAACGAATCATATGCAGTGTCATTGACAATCATACAATCTCTGTTTTTATTATTACAAAACAGCTGATGGCTATCTGAGCAATTTTTAAACCCACTGGCGTTCAAAACAGAATTGCATGATCCAACATTCGATGATATGAGCAATCAGGTGGACAAGAGTGGTCACATGTACATTTCATAATATTGATGGCAGAGAGGGAAAAGCAGACCATCCTCCCATATCCTTCTAGAAAATCATCATATAAGAAAGCATACAGATATTTGAGACAAGGCATCTTCAACTAACAAAAAATTGTAGACCGATCAATCGATAAAATGCTGACCAAATATAGGGTAGAAACAAGTAGACACAAAGCGCCCAAATATTCCTCTTTATATGGGAGAGCATGACATAAATTCCAGTTGACAAAATAATATCCCCAATCACCTCATCTACAATAAAAGACCAAGTGAAACTATATAAATACAATTATGGGCAAATACAAAAATGTATGCATATATAGAGGCTGGGCAAGGTATCCGTAAATACATACCAATGTCTGAGGCAATAAGGGGAGATATAATCCAAGCCCCTGGGTGGCTGTCCAAAAATGTCTCCCTCTATACTTCTACCTAACAATATAAAAATATGTACAGAGAGGGAAATAAGTCACCCAATCTTCCTCATTACTGACATGAAACTACCATCATGATTAAAAAGAGTTATCTGTGCTTACCAATCTAACCAGTTGTATGGAAAACTACCTCTATCAAATAAGCCAGCAACAGACTGCAATAAGGTCTCCATATATATATCCATTATATTATGGTCAATTGTCTCAATGGGTAATCATATCTATCTGTGACACCAATTAGAGATGTTGCGGCATGCACCGCCAAAGGACGCTAAATGGCGTCAACCATGTGGTCACTCCGGTATCCGTGAGGGAGACAATCTCCCTTGGCATCCACCTCCATCCTCGTTGCAAAAGCGTAACGCCATGACGTCACGCCAGCACCCAATGTGAGAATGCAAGTCACATCGGGTGCATACACAGTTCCCAGAACATCTGGGGGCTGTCCAAGGATGCCACTGGCATGGGAGTCTGCCCTCTAGAGGCACTAGAACAGTGCTTAGTCCTCACCACTGAAGGTCTAGAGCAGCCTTTCTCATCCAGGGTGACCAGGCACCCTGGTGTGCCTTGAAGTTTCTTTAGGGGTACCTTGGCAAAATGTCTAACAGTTTCACAAAACTTGTATACAACCCAGCTGGTGGAACAAGCCTGTCTTTAAGTCACAAGTTTTCATTGTATGCCATTACAACCTTCTAGCCACCAGCATCCTGACAACCAAGGACATCATCAGTTGATAAGGAGGATGTCAGTTGACTGCACAGCATTTTTATTTGACCCTCCCCCGCCCCTCTCCATCAGTGCTGGGGGCACATTAGCTCAGTGATGGAGTAAAAACTGAGGGAGAAGAGACACACTGAAATACTAGTCAGGAAAAGTGTATTTGATTTGGAAGAATAAATTAGAATAGTTTTTTACATTTCAGAATGGGGTTCCTCGGGACTGTCCATAATTTAAAGGATGCCTCGGGACTGTCCATAATTCTAAAGGGTGCCTCGGGACTGTCCATAATTCTAAAGGGTGCCTCGGGACTGTCCATAATTCTAAAGGGTGCCTCGGGACTGTCCATAATTTTAAAGGGTGCCTCGGGACTGTCCATAATTTTAAAGGGTGCCTCGGGACTGTCCATAATTTTAGAGGGTGCCTCGAGATTGTCCATAATTCTAAAGGGTGCATTGGGATTGTCCATCGTACTGAAGGGTGCATTGGGACTGTCCATTGTACTGAACGGTGCCTCGGGACTGTCCATAATTCTAAAGGGTGCCTCGGGACTGTCCATAATTCTAAAGGGTGCCTCGGGACTGTCCATAATTATAAAGGGTGCCTCGAGACTGTCCATCATTCTAAAGGGTGCCTCGGGACTGTCCATAATTATAAAGGGTGCCTCGGGACTGTCCATAATTCTAAAGGGTGCATTGGGATTGTCCATCGTACTGAAGGGTGCATTGGGACTGTCCATTGTACTGAACGGTGCCTCGGGACTGTCCATAATTCTAAAGGGTGCCTCGGGACTGTCCATAATTATAAAGGGTGCCTCGGGACTGTCCATAATTATAAAGGGTGCCTTGGTCTGTCCATAATTCTAAAGGGTGCCTTGGGTCTGTCCATAATTCTAAAGGGTGCCTTGGGTCTGTCCATAATTTTAGAGGGTGCCTCGGGACTGTCCATAATTCTAAAGGGTGCCTCAGGACTATCCATAATTTCAGAGGGTGCCTTGGGACTGTCCATAATTTTAGAGGGTGCCTTGACTGAAAAAAGGTTGAGAAACACTGGTTTAGAGCAGCAGATCCTGAGCCACTGCTCTGCATGTCCATTCACACACAATCTACTTGCTCTGGGGGCACTCGGCAGGAGGGAGGGGCCAGGAGCTCCAGCAGGGAACTTAGAAGAGGAGGATCGGGGCTACTCTGTGCAAAACCATTGCATAGAGCAGGTAAGTATGACATGTTTTTTGTTTTTTTTAATTGCCTTTATTATCACTAACTGTAGTTCCACTATAATTCACTCTGTGTATTCCCAACCTAAGTTACTACAGACATATACTGTAAGTGTATAGTTTCCTGATGTGATCAGCTGCAATCTGTAGGCCATGCATGTGGCAAGGAATACACCCTGGTTAAAGTGATGCTAAACAATATCCTTATCCCCAAAAACAATCCGTACACATCAGCTACTCAAAGTGTTTCTACACTCACATGAAAAAATATAGATGTCAATTACCTCGATATTGTATTCCTTTTTCCCATTGTAATACCAATTTCATAGTGTATCTTCTAACTGCTTTTAAAGTCTTCAGTGTATTGTCTTCTTTTCCAACTCTGGCTATGTTTACCCTACATGCTCTAGTAGTAAGCGTGAATATAGCCACTCTCCTGTGTTTGCTGCCTACAGGGACTACAACTTTATGGGCCCACACAGGCAGTACTTTTTTCACATTTTATGCTTGTCCTCAGTGTTACACACTGGATGGAAGATACCAGCATGATTTCATTAGCAATCTAACACATGCACAGTGCGAACACAAGTACAATGATTGATAGAAACTGTAGTTTGTGTATGGCAATGCACTTGATCATTATTCACATGCACTGCTCATACTCTGAACCCTGAAATTAATTCAAAGGTGACTGTGCCAGGAGCACGCAATGGGGAAAACATTTTTTATATATTTAAACATAAGCAGGGATGCAGTAGGATGAAGTGTTTTGAGGAAGAGTTGAAGAAAAAGGTTTAAAAACACTTTAAGGGCTCTGGAATCTATTTTTCATGATCTAATTTCTTACTGGTTTTTCTGCATCCTAGTAACGTTTTCTGTGAGCTCTTGAACCTCTTTTTCCTTCTCATTTCAATTTGTTTGGAGCAATCGGAGCATGTTAGTTGCAGTTATGTGCACTGCTGTGTGCACACTACACATCACATAGCCTCTAGTCCATGTCAAGAGCAAGTAAGAATGGGTGGCTATGTTCCTACATACAGTGGAACATTGGAGAATGAACGTAACTAGTATCTAACAGGACGTTGGATCACAGCAGCAAAAAAAAGAAGGGAATTTGGGGTTTATGAGGAAACTGAGAGAAACAGAATGTACTTTTTTTTTAGATAAGAATACAAACTCGAATAGATTTTTTTTTTTTTTTTTACTTTAAACCAGAGTTTAGAGTCACTCTAAAGAGATTATTCATATGTAAAATGTCAGTGCTTGCATTGCCAACCATCATCTGTAGTTGGTAGGCAGCTTTTTAGTATTAATGGTCATGAGATGGCTGTCAACCAACTTGATTGTAATCAGACATATTGGACACTGGCTACATGTTGTGGGTGTCCCCTGAGTGGGATGGCCACCATCTGTCAAGAGAAGCAATCTTTCTATTAGGTTAGAAAAGCTGATCTAAGTATACAGAGCCCCTTGCAGTGCTCATGTAAAAGATCTTTCCTGAAAGGAGGTCTGCTCTCTGATGTCTAGGGGCAGCTTCAGCTACGTTGGTTTGTTGTTTGGCTTAGTGGTATATTAATTCATGCACTGTGTTATCTTAGAGGCCCAAACATGCCGCAGTAATATTCCCATCTTGCTGCAGACAACGAGAAAATGATACAGACATCACTCTCATGAAGTAATCTCTGAACTGCATGTAGCACGGCTCTCTGTTCAGAAAGCAAAAGAGGAACGTCATTGAGATCAATCACTGTCTGCTGTGTTATTTAATGGAGCCGCATTCTGTTTGCAGCTGGTCTAGGCTAAACACTTAGGTGGTCATACACCAAATCCTCTACTATATGTCACACCAATTATTTATTTTTATCTCTGTTATAACTGGTACGTACATTATAGCTTTTTGTGGGTAAAGTCCCATATCATTCTCAAACACTGTTTTATATTCTTCATATGTAAATTATGAAGCCTTTTTTTTATATTGAACAAAGAAAGAAATGGTTAAAAACCTCTGTCAGTTCCTTTGCTAGGGAAATTTCCCTTCAAGTACTGTCTTGTATACACAATAGGAAGTGAGAAGGAAAAGCTCATCCTCATTCGGCCAGTTGTCACCAGAACATTTGTTCCCAGTGAAAAATGTACCCACTATTCCTGTTCTGAAGGCAACTCCAAATGTTTACTTTTCCCTTACTTTCCTATTAGGCACACCGACAGCAATGCAAAAATTCAGACTGGGGTTCTAACCCTTCCCTACTTCCCATACCTGTAATTTTTTACTCCCTTGGGAAATCCGGGGGAAAAAAAACAAATTAGTATTTTCATTAGAAAAAATATGGGATTTGCGCAACATAACAGAGACATATAAATGCCTATGCCCAGTATATCAGCTGCAGTAACACACATTGTTTATTTACATTAAGCTGGACTCCTCTACATGCTAATTAAAAGGACCATACATGACTTTTAAAGCTTGCAACATCATGAAGGTGACTGAGGGCTGTGCTGCAAATGCTAAAGGTCTATGATGTATGTAATAATAATCAACATTTCTGATTTATTTCTTTCAAAACATGTAAATTGGCCCTAAATTTCTCTTCACAGATGTTAAAGGCATATTCTGCCTTTAAAAAAAAAACTATAAATAATTATAATAAATGCACCCATATTAAAAAAAATAAAAAATGGGCATTCATTAATTTTTGCATCGGAGCCTACAAAGCATTGCAAATGCAATCCGCTCATCACAGGTGCAATGCATAGGCTCCTGTAGATTATTTCTCCAGCCCCAGGGCCCATACAGAGGTACGGAATTTCAGTTGTGGGGCTGGAAGGAGGATCAGTGGACTATGGGTGTGGTGACATCACCACACTTGTACTTCATTAAGAACTACCTGTTCCTCTGTCATGGTGGCAAATGGGTCTTGTAGTCTTCCATTCACAGATCTGTGTGATTGGATGTTTGAATGGATGACATGGCTATGTGGGGAGAAAACACCCACAAATTCAGGTAAAGGGGGGTGGGGGTTCAAGTTGGGGTCTCTGGAATGCGACCATGTTACACACTAAATATGGGCATGACACGAAACATAGAAAGGTGGAATTAGCCTTTAACTATTTGATTTGGATTTTTTTGAGCAACCTCTTAGATAGATGTAAAATATTTTTGTCCATGTTCTTACAGGTTAAGTGGAGCATCTCCATTCCTCGGTGAAACCAAACAAGAGACGTTGGCAAATATATCTGCTGTCAGCTATGAATTTGAAGATGAGTTTTTTAGTAGCACTAGCGAACTGGCCAAAGATTTTATTAGGCGACTTCTCGTCAAGGACCCAAAGTAGGTTGTGTTTGCCAAAACTGGTATTGATTGTGAATAGATTAAGAAATAAAACAAAGATAACGAAAGTTAATGAAATGTGGTGGTGTAATGATATAATTTCCCACTACATATTTTAATAACGGTTTTTCTTGTGTGTTTTATAGTAAAATAAAAATTGTCTTGATGTGTTTTGTATTTATACACTAGCAGACTGTCTGCCATGGCTGCCTGGCGAAGGTGAACATTGGGGATAGGGTGTATCTGATTAATTCATGATTCACATGTTTATTAGGCAACAGTGATATTTTGCCTTCCTGAACCCATTAATAGCCACTAAATCAGTATTGCAAAGAAAACTTTTCTATGCCAAAAGTAGTTTTCATTCTGCATTTTAGCAGAAATGGATTGGACAATCTCTATACTGATAGCCTTTGCTAAGGTTATGTGTTTAAAAAGTGCCAGTGATGACTGAGTTTGTGCAATAATCTGAATATCCAATGTTAAAGTGATTCTGTGCCTAGAGTGCACACTAAATTATTTACCAACTCTGAGCAAGTAGAAAAATCACTTTAAAAAATTCCCATATTCATCTACAGTATATAGCTATAGGATTTGTAGAAAAGTTTATACAATTCACAATAAAAGCCCTGAAGTCTTAGCTTTCTTTTGCAGTGAAATGTTGGCATTTTGTCAGCCTTCTAATATAGACACAAAACAGATGTTTCTAAGTTAAAAGAAACCCACTAAAACCCAAACTTGAGCCTTTGTTGTCATCTTTGAGGAGCTTTGAGAATGCATTACTTAATAGTACATTCAGCTAGTGAGGTCAGTGATGGTTTTGTTTTAAAGCTCCTTTATTACTTTTTGAAAAATATGTAAATACTTTAATCTTCAAGGTCCTGGTACAGGTGCAGGTTAACCACTGTGGTAGCAGCCATGAGCTTGTTTCTCTTAGCTCAGGGCTATTTAGTAAAAGTAATTGCTTTTACGGGTTTTGCAGGTTGTTCTCGATCAGTTGAAGAAGAAGGTATGGAAGATATTAGGGGTATAATAGAGTAACTGTCTCTTGCCCAATTTTAGAAACAAAATGTAAAAATTGGTTATATAAAAGAATAACAAAAAAATAAAAGCATCCCACCCCCTCATACACAAGCATATCTCTGCAAATGGGTATATAGGGGCATGTACAGTGAGGAACAGAAGTATTTGAACACCCTGCGATTTTGCAAGTTCTCCCACTTAGAAATCATGGAGGGGTCTGAAATTCACATTGTAGGTGCATTCCCACTCTTAGAGACAGAATATAAAAAAAAAATTCAGGAAATCACATTGTATGATTTTTAAAGAATTTATTTGTCTTGCACTGCTGAACATAAGTATTTGAACACCTAAGAAACTGCAAGAATTCTGGCTCTCAAAGACCTGTTACTGTGCCTTTAAAAAAGTCCACCTCTACTCCACTCATTAATCTAACTTAGTAGCACCTGTCTGAGCTCTTTAAAGACACCTGTCCACCCCACAGTCAGTCAGACGCCAACTACTACCATCGGCAAGACCAAAGAGCTGTCAAAAGACACCAGAGACAAAATTGTGGACCTCCACAAGGCTGGAAAGAGCTACGGGGCAATTGCCAAGCAGCTTGGTGAAAGAGATCAACTGTTGGAGCAATTGTTAGAAAATGGAAGAGGTTAAAGACAACTGTCAGTCTCCCTCAGACTACGGCTCCATGCAAGATCTCACCTCGTGGGGTATCACTGATGATAAGAAAGGTGAGGAATCATCCCAGAACTACAAGGGAGGAGCTGGTCAATGACATGAAGAGAGCTGGGACCACAGTTTCAAAGGTCACTGTCGGTGGAACACTACGCCGTCATGGTTTCAAATTATGCATTGCACGAAAGGTTCCCCTGCTCAAGTCATCACATGTCCAGGCCCGTCTGAAGTTTGCCAATGACCATCTAGATGATCCAGAGGAGGCATGGGAGAAAGTCATGTGGTCAGATGAGACCGAAGTAGAGCTTTTTGGTCTAAACTTCACTCGTCGTGTTTGGAGGAAAAAGGGTGAGTTGCATCCCAAGAACACCATCCCTACTGTGAAGCATGTGGATGGTAACATCATGCTTTGGGGGTGCTTTTCTGCGAAGCGGACAGGACGACTGCACTGTATTAATGAGAGGATGAATTGGGCCATTTATTGTGAGATTTTGAGCAACAACCTCCTTCCCTCAGTCAGAGCATTGAAGATGGGTCTTGGCTGGGTCTTCCAACATGACAATGACCCGAAGCACACAGCCAGGATAACCAAGGAGTGGCTCTGTAAGAAGCTTATTAAGGTTCTGGAGTGGCCTAGCCAGTCTCCAGACCTAAATCCAATAGAACATCTTTGGAGGGGGCTGAAACTCCGTGTTGCTCAGCGACAGTCCCAAAACCTGACAGATCTAGAGGAGATCTGTGTGGAGGAGTGGGCCAAAATCCCTGTTGCAGTGTGTGCAAACCTGGTCAAGAACTACAGGAAACGTTTGACCTCTGTAATTGCAAACAAAGGCTTCTGTACCAAATATTAACACTGATTTTCTCAGGTGTTCAAATGCTTATGTTCAGCAGTGCAAGACAAATAAATTCTTTAAAAATCATACAATGTGATTTCCTGAATTTATTTTTTAATTCTGTCTCTCAGAGTGGGAATGCACCTACAATGTGAATTTCAGACCCCTCCATGATTTCTAAGTGGGAGAACTTGCAAAATCGCAGGGTGTTCAAATACTTCTGTTCCTCACTGTATGTGTATGTAAACACCATTTGTGCAGCACACAATGGGTATTGCCATACATGCGAGAGTAAAATAAATAATTTTACGTCTCTAATTTACAGTTAACCCAAAACTGACATCTCCTTTTGATCATTTCGAAGATTATTTTTCAGTGCTTTGCAGGCTCACGCTCTTTTTACTTGTTTGGTATTTATTTACTCAACAGGTTTTTATTTTGTACAACAAAATGGGGATTATTTTATGTTTGTATGCACTAAAATATAATAAAGATTTGATAAATAGTTGTGCAAATATCATGCAACATAAAAAATTTGCAACAACCATTCTCTAGGGCCTCTTCTTTAAAAAAAAAAAAATAAATAAATAAAAAAGGATAATGTTTGGGGGGGTTATATTTTGTTTTCTAGCCCCAAAATTCAGAGTTTAACACGTGTGAAAAATGAAAGGTATTACATTATTATATTTGTATAATATAACAATATTGTATACTATAACAATATTTTCCATTGCATCTGTCAGTCTTTAGCTCTAGAGAAAGATATCTCTTAAGGAGTGACAATTATTTTAAGCAAACTTTAAAAGGGGGCAATTATTTCAGAAGTAAGCCATCACAACTAGAAAAATGAGACTCAATATTTATATAGAAGAATCCCAATCGACTTTTAAGGCTGCCATATTCATACCTAACACATTGCAGGATATGCCATAGGTACATGGACTTGTCTATAGGGGTGGGGATTGTTTAATCCATTTTTATTCACTTAAGCTAAAATAAATAGAGATAACTTGGTTCTCCCTATTATTACTTGTAGTACTCCACAACATTGATAGAACTCTGGATATATACACTATATTGCCAAAAGTATTGGGACACCCCTCCAAATCATTGGACTCAGGTGTTCCAATCACCGCCATGGCCACATGTGTATAAAATCAAGCACCTAGGCATGCAGACTGCTTCTGCAAACATTTGTGAAAGAATGAGTTGCTCTCAGGAGCTCAGTGAATTCAAGCGTGGTGTAATTGCCACCTGTGCAATAAGTCCATCCATGAAATTGACTTGCTGCTAAATATTCCACTTTTCGTGGTATTATAACAAAGTGGAAGCAACTGGGAACAATAGCAACTCAGCCACGAAGTGGTTGGCCATGTAAAATGACAGAGAGGGGTCAGCGCATGCTAAAGCGCATAGTTCACAGAAGTCGCCAACTGTGTGCAGAGTCAGTAGCTAAAGACTTCCAAACTTGATGTGGCCTTCAGATTAGCACAACAACAGTGCATAGAGAGCTTCATGGAATGGGTTTCCATGGCCGAGCAGCTTCATCCAAGCCTTACATCACCAAGTGCAATGCAAAGTGCCGGCTGCAATGGTGTAAAGCACACCACCACTGGACTCTAGAGCAGCGTTTTTCAACCACTGTGCCGCGCCACACTAGTGTGCCGTGAGATATTGTCTGGTGTGCCGTGGTGGAAAAATTGCAATTTCATCCGTAACATGTGGCCTCGGCTCACAAATAGACCAATCATTAGAACAGCAATGGGCAAACTACGGCCCGGCGGACCTTTTAATCCGGCCCGCGGAGCGTGATACTGTCAGGATGATCTGTCCCCCTCGACGTATCTGCGCATGTGCCGGAGATCGCCGATCGGCTGCTAATGCCTGAAACTGGCACATGCGCAGATACGTCGAGGGGGACAGATCCTCATAGGAGACAGATTTTCATGCTACACCGGAACGGCGAGAGAAACTCGCGGAGCAAAGGTAAGTGAATTGACACAGGGGGGGCTTGGGGACTTAATATGGGGGATGAATTACTATGGGGGATGAATTACTATGGGGGATGAATTACTATGGGGGATGAATTACTATATGGGGGATGAATTACTATGGGGGATGAATTACTATGGGGGATGAATTACTATATGGGGGATGAATTACTATAGGGGGGATGAATTACTATAGGGGGGATGAATTACTATAGGGGGGATGAATTACTATATGGGGGGTGAATTACTATGGGGGATGAATTACTATATGGGGGATTAATTACTATGGGGGATTAATTACTATATGGGGGATGAATTACTATATGGGGGATGAATTACTATGGGGGATGAATTACTATATGGGGGATGAATTACTATGGGGGATGAATTACTATATGGGGGATTAATTACTATGGGGGATTAATTACTATGGGGGATGAATTACTATATGGGGGATTAATTACTATGGGGGATGAATTACTATA